CCGATGTCTTGCCACACTGCTTGCCAACCAGGTCTTCACCCGGGTTCACAGAAGTCTATTGAACATTGTAGGGCTTAGCTCGCCACTTCATTGCTGTTTTTCCCTCACTTCCCCTTATCAGTGACGAGCATTTCACTAATTTTTTGAAGCATCCTCATGTATTTGTGTGAGTAGCAACATATACTAGCATATTTTTGAAGTAGCCTCATGTATATGAGTGTGTACCAATACATATTGCTAAGTTCTCTTTTTCCTTCATAAAATGCCTGTCCCAGAGGACCTCAAAGCACTGGAAAAAAACAGAGCATGAATAACTCAACTTCTGGGTTGTGTAACCTGTGAGCTCATCTGAGTTAAAACACATATGACATAGCAAGACAGTACACAGCCTGATCAGCTGAGCACAATGACTGCCTGGCATGATCATGGGTGTCTGAGCATTGTCTCTATAGCCAGACGTGTTATAAATGCACTGTGAACAAGGAGTGTGTTTAATGGGGAAACACGTCAAGTTGTTAAATTCTCACCTGCTGTCATCAGGAGCCAGTCCGTAACATCTAGAATTGAAAAGCCAAGAAATAACAGTATAAAGTGTTGTTGTTAGGTGCCATCAAGTCAGCTCCAACTCATAGCAACCATGTCTACAACACAACAAAACAGTGTCCCATTCTGCACCGTCCTCACAATTGTTATATTTGAGCCATGGTTGCTGCCACTGTGTCAGTCCATCTCCTTGGATGTCTTCCTCTTTCTTGCAGACTATTCACTGTACTAAGCATGATGTCCATCTCCAGGGACTGGTCCTTCCTAACAGTCTTGTCATCCTTGCTTCTAAAGAACATCTGGCTATACTTCTTTTTTTTTTTAAGTTTTTATTGTGAATTGAGTGATAGTTAACATGTGAGAACATCAGTTTGTCTCCTATGGGTTTTTTTTTGTTTTTTTTTTTAAAGTTTTTTATTGTAAATTGAGTGAAAGTTTATAGGGCAGATCATCAGTTTTACATTCAACAAATCATATACTTTGTTTCATTACAATGATTATAATCCCTACCATGTACGATCAGTTAACAGTATTTCTCTTTATTCATTTTTGCTCTTATAATAAAAGAACCCAAAAAACAGGCATGTATAATAATTTACACCACCAAAGGGCACCTTCTGCAAGTCTGCCTCCAAGCTGCCAGCTCTTAGTCCCTCTCTTTCCATGAATCTAGAGTCCTCAGCTGCTCCCTCTCTCCATGTCCCC